ACACAAACACACACACACACACACACACAATGTTCAGACAAAGAATGACCTCACATACATACAGACACACCCAGAGGAAAGAAAAATCAAAAGTGAGATCTCTTTAACATCTCAAATATTTCTCCTAGACAGAAATGAGGTTAAGATGGAGATTTTTGCTTGAGTCTCCTGATTCTCAGACTTGTCTCCTGAGACAAAAACTCTAACACTCTCACATTTGTCTCCTTTAAAGTTTTAGAAGAGATCTCATCATCATCACACACTGTGCTTAGCCAAGTATGAGAAGCAGGAGACTCAAGCAAAAAAAAAAAAACTCAGTTTGATGTTAAAGTAACTTCATTTCTGTCTAGTACAAATATTTGAGATGTTAAAGAGATCTCATTTTTTATTTTTCTTTCCTATGAGATGTGCTGCATATACAATTCTGGGCATTGAAGATAAATTTAAACTAGTAACCCTTGATATTCTGAAATGTGTAATGCTTTTAAACGATAGTTTCAGTATTTACAATATTAGTAAAAATTTTAAATTAACGTTTCTCCTAAAATAAATTGAAAGACATCTGAAGACAAAGCTGATTTCTCAGTGAGATATATAAGAGAATCAACCCTTAGTTGAGCGGTTAGGAGAAACATCTGAAATGCTGTTGATAGAAAAATGAGAGATATATGAGAATCACAATTAAGTCTCCTGAGCTTAGGAAGAGCAAATTCTGAGCAATATATTTTTTTTCCTCTGGGCACACAAACACAAACACATCAGGGCCAGAAATGAACTTTTCCATTAAGGGGCCATTTTTGTCCCCTAGAATTGATTTCCAGGGGCATTTTTTACATTTGTGAGCGCAATTTTTATCGCCACCTTAATAATTGTATCTGTGTTGTTTTTAATATCAAATACTTGAATTTAGCCAATTAATTCAGTTAATCAAAATACTTTAAACTGCTGGCAGTAACAACCTTTATTGTCGATTATTGCTCTTTATCTTGTAATAATGATTATTAATGTTGATTAATAGAATACATAAAAAACCTTCTTTGTGTTTTGTGTCTGCGTTTTGAGGAAATGGCTCATCATATATTCTGGCTCTGGCTTCTGGTCTAGTCTAGTGCAAGTTATGCAAAAACTCCCATTATATTCACTGAAGCTATGAAATGAATCTTTTATTTACATCATATCTACACTGTGTTGTTTATGATGAGGGAATTCACGAGTGTAAAAAATTCAATCAGCACACTCAACAACAACTACGGAGTTTTCAGCGCTGACTAATCTAAGCGTCTCTGATTGGTCATTGCATTCCTAATCTCAACAGAAACACGTGTGGTTGGTCATAAGGCTCAGCGCTGCAAAAAAAAAAAAAACGCGTCAATTTTGATCTGATGCAGTGTGAGCGATTCAAAAGTAATTCCGCGAATAGACACTTTTCATTAATTTTCACAGTTAATTTTAATCACGACTCAAACACCAAATCAATTGTTTAATTGTGCAGGGGCAATTTTTGCCCCTTTATCTTGAATTTGTGAAATGACAATTAAAGCTGACATTATTTTCTTAGAGGAACAACCTGGGAATTAAGTGAACTAAGCCTTGCACTGATTTGATACTCAGAATATTTTCCTAAGGTTGGCAGGTCTGAATCAGTCAAGTGTGTCTAAACTTTGAACTGCTAGTGTGCTGCTATCTGAACAGTACCAGTCGCACGCAGAGCGCTTACACGCTAGTTTTAAACATCTTTCTGCATGACCCGGTGATCAGTGAACTTTCACCTATGATTGAATCCTAGGCTTTCTGTGAGCGCTTGGATCAATTCTGTTTATTCCTCCCACACTCTCTCTCTCCCACACCCACCCAGCAAAAAGATGAGAACATATTCCACAAAGATTCCTCTGATAAAGATTCCCTCTCTCCGGCTCATACACACCCACACTCACGCTTGCACAATGTGCATATGGTTTCAGTCTTTCCAGCTGTCCCACGGTTACAGTCATGAGAGGCCAGCCTGGAACAGTACAGCATGCATGCATGCGTGTGTGTGTGTGTGTGTGATGTCTCAGAATATGAGGAGGAGTAGAAAAAGACATCAGAGATTAGAGGAGTGGATGAAAGAGGGAATGGGTGAGAAAGACGGTTTCTAAGTCTCACTTTCTACACACACACACACACACACACACACACACACACACACAGTCTCTAGGGATGAGATATGCTCTAGAAAGCAGGCATCCTGATTTCCCGGCAGGCCGTGCTAATGGAACATCAGGTTCAATCTGTCCCTCACTCTGTTTTGTTTAATTTCGTTTCGCCCATCTCTGTGAGTTTACTGTACATTTCTCAGTGGTGGCTGGCTTACCAGCTTTATATTGTTTACATGCACTATAATCCCATTTTCAGTCACACTAAGCAGTTTTGGTTTTTGGAAAAGGGACTCCCAAAAGATACATCTGAACCTTCTGACCTACAGTGAAATATTATCAGAGAAGTTATGAATTTAATTCCCAGTAATATATTTACTACAGTGACCTGAAGAGTTAACATTCACTGAGGCCTACTTCTGCACAGCCTGTTTAATTTAATAAAATTTATTTTTGTTTAGTCTTACAGTGCAAGGTTCCCTTTCATGGGAACTTCGAACTGCGTCCTCTAGGGGTCGCTATGGGGGAACGCCTCATCGTGACCCGTGTCTGAAGCATACATTGAAAAAACACCAACTCGTTGGCCGGCGACAGCCATTACGTCACTACCGGTGCGACTATAGTATAAATAGGCGCCGGGAGCACACATCATTCTCTTCTTCGTCTTCATTGACTGTTCTGTTTGAAGCGTGCATTTCCAAGGAAAACGTAAGATCTATCTCTTTCATTATGGCGAGCACTAGTAGAGCATTTAGAAGGTGTGTGCATCCGTGTCTGGTTGGTTCTATGGCTTCATAGTAACCACCTTACTGATGGTCCGGTCTAAACGCTTCTCCGGACAGAGCTCCGACGCGGGAACCATGGTGGGTAAGTATGATCCATATCTAATGAGACTGGTGGTTGTGTGTGTAACCCTTCTGCTAGTTTCTTTGCAGTGTTTCCTGGGACCTGTGTGTTTCTGTCCCTTTCTAGGGTAGGTCCTCGATGGGCACCCCCTCTGCTGGGTTCAGAAACCGGGTGCTCGACTTGCAGTGCTTATTTCACTCATCGATATATGTCCAGACGGTAAGTAAGCCGGTTTTCGGCTTCATACTTCCTGGATCATGCGGCCATAACTCAGGCTTCTGCGGGAGCCTTCGTGATCATCAGGCCCCCAGCGCGTCACTGCAAAAATTTCCTGGACGTCCGGGCTGGGGTTACGCTTTCATGCTACCCTGACTGGCCTACCGTATCTGGGTCGCCCTAAGGGGTTTCCCGATCACCAGAATATCCCCTCTTGCTGAGGCATCGAGTGGGAGGCATTGGTGGCATTATGAGAACCTTCCTGTGTAAATGCTGTCTCAGGCAGTG